TTATTTATTCTCTATCTCCGCTGTTCGCTTGGAATGTAGTTATAAACGGCCAACCGTGTGCTGGCTGTCTTGTTTCGCTCTGGACGATGGTTTTTCAAAAAAATGTACTGTTGCCACCTCTGTTCTCGGCACCTATCTGAAGTACACTCTCCCCCCGAAGAACGCCAACTCGGTATACACGAATTCCATTTACGTTGGTCTCGAATTATTCCGTTTACGCAAGGGAATCGCGTAAATGGAGTACACGTACATATGTGCATATGCACACTTAGAAATTATTATTTTTACACGAGACGTAATTCAGCTTTGACGTAAATCATGGAACGTAAAATTAAGTGTCCTGAAACTGAAACATATGCAACTCGACGAAAAGTGTGTTTGATTGAATTGATTTTCTCGTCCTTTTCAACTGATTCTTATGTTCCTATTAGTTCTAATCCCATATGCTACGTGTACTCCATTTACGCGAATTCGATTTACGCGGTACGTATTACTCGTGCTCTTCGGGGGGGAGAGTGTAAGTGTTTAACAATCCCTTCGCATCCCTAGCAGTTGTAAGAATGTGGCCAGGAAAATTCTCGAATGTTGGAGAGGGTAACACCTTCGTTTAAGAGGCCAAGTTTAACCCCCTATTTCAGTCTGTACGGTAAGGTGGCACTACTTTTATACAATGATCTAGCATTTTTACTACCTACAAATTTGTGAACCTACTTTAATGCGAATGCAAATGTGAATCATCTGAAATTCGCAACCCAGGCTACCACTTAAAATTTTATATCTTTAATAAATTGTCAGTAACATTTGCAAAACTCTCTACTTACAATATTGCACCCCTCCCGTGACTTTTATGAAGGGTCGTAGAGTTCTCTACGTCCTTCTTAAGTAAGTGTCCAATTATCAATCCTTCCAATGTTAACTAGTTCCAAAGACGTGTCCAGGACAGTTCCTCGATCTTTGGAGGTTGTATCACTTCCCATCTTAGAAGGCAGTTATTAAAGGCGAATCCAATAGAAATTAAGTGATTGTTTCAGCCTCTGGCGGTGAATAGGGGAACCCTCAAACGAGTGATGAGGGTGAAAATGTTCACAGTGAAGCATACACTCAAAGATAAATTAAATCAAAAAAGCTTAATAAGTATGCAGATTCCCGCTTCACCTTATTGAGTCCAAGCCATGATTACTTCGGCAGTAGTCATGCATAATTAAAATCGAATTAATTTTTCCAGTGTTAAATGTTATTCTTTTTCAATACTGATGTATAATCAAAAAAGATTAAAATTCAATCAAAAATTATTAAAATGGAAACAAAAATAATTAAAATTTATTCAAAAAAAGATAATCTACAATCTAATCAACCATGATTAAACTGGGATTAATATCAGATGCTTATTTTTTAGAAAGAGAGGATTAATTTTTAATCATTCGATATGCTTAAACTGAGCTTAATGTCGAATTGATTAAATTTCAAGCAAATGGGAATAGTTCAATTTATCAGTGTAGGAAGAGGACAAAAGGCCTTTTTAATGCACCATCAATGTAGAGTGCACCACGCGAAGAAACGTCAAACAAACCGTTTGTTTACATCAGAATAACTATTTTTCACAACGCAAATTAGAGCATTTTTCATTCAACATCTTGCCAATTTCTATCGGTAATTGTTTTAATGTACGATTTTCCACAGATCTGAACTGATTTGTACCTTAACTATCACACAAGAAATCCGGAAGATCATAACCACTAAGGCACTTTTCTAATTTTCCATTTTTCGCAACAAAAATATTCCTGTACACCAGCAGGATCTTTGCAAAAATGTTACAGAATTAAATTTTTCAACTGTAGATTAAGTTTTGGAGCATCTCAGATGTATCAATTTATCAAGACAAGTAAAAAAGTGTTCCGCTTTCTATGCCTCAAGGCAAAAATTTCTGCTCACAATACTCTTTTTGACGTTCTCCTATTCACCACCAGAGGTTGAATCGATCGTTTAGTTCCCATTAAAAAGGCCTATAGGCTCTTTTCATGCACCACCAATGTAGAGTGTGCTAGCCGATTTTGAGAGGAAAATTTAATGTCATCCAATCCTTTTGCTTACATCATAATGACGATGAAACTCAAAATAATGTACATTTTATTGCACAACTTGGAAAATTCCATCGGGAGTCTAATTTTTCGATTATCTTCAAATCTGAACTAATTTACAGTTGAAATAAAAACACATTAAAAATCCTGAAGATCATAACCGCTGGTACAATTTAATAAGTCTTAATTTTTCTCATCAAAAATATATGCAAGCACCAGCCCGAGCTCTGCAAAATCGATACAGAAAACAAAATATTCCACGTGGATGACGATTTCAAGCACCTGCGGTGCACAGCAAAAAAATAATTTTGATATCACGTCAAAGTGGATGCACTACAATCATGTCGAAAATATGGTGTAATATTACTTACTAAAAAGGACAAAATTATCATTAATACAATGCATGAACTGACATTACGCTGCTTTTACTGCATTTGTTTATTTATGTGGTCATAAAAATTACATAAAATTTTCGACATGCTTGTAGTGCATCCACTTTGATGTGATATCAAAATTATTTTTTTGCTGTGTGGGTAAATTAATCAAGAAAGGTGAAAATATTTTCCTCTTTTTATGCTTCACGGTGCAAATATCCGTCCTCATTACTCTTTTGAAGATTCCACTATTTCCTGATTAATTTATGCACCGCAGGTTCTTGAAATCATCATCCACGTGGAATATGTTGTTTTCTGTATCGGGTTTGCAGTGATCCGGCTGGTGTTTCCATATATTTTTGAAGGGAAAAATAAAAATTTATAAAATTGTTTCAGAGGTTATAATCTTCCGAATTTTTAATGTGTGCTTATTTCAGCTGTAAATCAGTTCAGATCTGTAGATAAGCGAAAAATAAGACCACTCCCGATGGAAATTTGTATGATGTAAACAAATGGATTGGATGACATTTCCTCTCAAAATCGGCTACCGCACTCTACATTGATGGTGCATGAAAAGAGCCTAATCCAAATTAAAGGTATTGTACACTGTTAACTCAGCTGGAGAGCTATTGATGGCGAACAGCTTTTATGTGCTAAATTTTTGATTGCAGAGCACTACGAAGACACGTAAGGATAGTATGTCGGTTTTTCTTTTCTTAATTCCACTTTTAGGTACACACATTGTCCAAGCTACATGTCTGGTACACTCGATTGCACTACCTTTATTCTTACTTAAACTATTTTTTTCATTAAAATACTACAATTCAAATACAAATGAATATCACCACAACATTTAGCTTCAATATTTCTTCTATGGTTTGTTATTGAAGAATCAAAGTGAGTACAGGCCTTTTTAATAGAAACTAAACGATCGATTCAACCTCTGGTGGTGAATAGGAGAACGTCAAAAATAGTGTTGTGAGCATAAATTTTTGCCTTGAGACATTGGCAAATCAAAGTTGGCACTCATGGAGAATAGAAGAACTATAACAGTGATGATGGTTTCAAAATTTTCCACGGGGAAGTATACGAATGCAATCTTAAAATGCTTTTATTTTGCAAATGGAACATTTTATTTAAATCTGGTTGCTGCTACAGTGGTAGAAAAGCTCAAATCTATGAGTACACCTAAAAATCTGAAAAGAAATTAATTTTTCTGTATTATTTGTCTAATGAATAGTCCTTAAGTTTTCTTCTAACATAGCATCTACCAGATTTAAATAAAATGCTCCATTTGCAAAATAAAAGCATTTTAAGATTGCACTCGTGTACCTCACCGTGTAAAATTTTGAAACCATCATCACTCTCATAGTTCTTCTATTCTCCACGAGTGCCAACTTTGATTTGCCAATAGGAAGCGGAACATTTTTTTACTTTTCCTGATAAATTGTTTCATCTGAGATGCTGCAAAACTTAATCTACAGATGAAAAATTTAATTCTGTAACGTTTTTGAAAAGATCCTGCTGGTGTTCAGGAATATTTTTGTTGAAAAAAATGGAAAATTAGAAAAGTGCCTTAGTGGTTATGATCTTCCGCTTTTCTTGTGTGTTAATAGTTAAGGTGCAAATCAGTTCAGATTTGTGGAAAATCGTACAATAAGATAATTACCGATGGAAATTGGCAAGATTTTGAATGAAAAATGCTGTTATTTGCGTTCGGGAAAATACTTATTCTGATGTAAACAAACGGTTTGGTTAACGTTTCTTCTCGAACTCGCGTTGCGCACTCTACATTGGTGGTGCATTAAAAAGGTGTATTGATGCACAGATGGGGAGTCGGTGAAACTGTTAATGACGTTTTGATATCTGCCAATTTGAAGGATTTTTTTTTTCATCGTCATTTTTGTAATTGCGGATCTTAAAACTAGGTGTCACATGACCAGTTTTGGTTCTGCTTTGATTCGCCAATTGTTCTGGTTCTACGCCATGATTTGATGATGGTTGTCCACACGAATAGAGGTCGTCCCGTTGACAGGAGCTGCCTTTTATAGTAGGTTCCTCCATTTTAATTAAATACATCAATAAACACGCGAGATCAATAAACACGATTTTCCGCCGGGCACAATGAAGGACGAACGGTTGACTGGTGCTGTCGGTCGATGAACATTCAAAACCAGGTGGCGTGCAGATGCTCTTTTTGCGTATGCGAACAGACGTCAACATCACTCGTAGAATAGTCTTAGATTTGTGTACCACCTACGTGCAACTTAGTTCCCCTTGAATTGGTTACTAAGATTCCAAGCTTTCTCAAACCATTCCACCAGATTAGCCAATTATCCGCCACATTGCACTGTGACGCCATTAAACTCTTTTACCCTACCATCAACTTTAAACCTCTATTAGCACAGGCCAAAAAGCTTCCCCATCCAACACTACTCCCACGTGCAACGTTATAACCTGTTATAAGAACCGAGAAAATGGATCAAACCCTCCTGTAGCCCAAAGCAAATCCATAGCGTATACACAGTTGATACGAAAACGAACGAACCTGTGAATCCTCGGTCGTAAATAATGCATCGAATGCAAACATTTTCGGCGCAGATACCATGGGGCCCCGTTCCTGTGTACTGCTGGCACTGGTTCCACCACCGCAGGCAAGGTTCGGTTGCGTTTCACACAGTGTCACCTGGCGTTTCTTCTTGTCCACCGTTAGATAGTTGCTGCCGGACTGCTGCTGCTGCTGCTGCTGCTGTGACTCTTCACCTGTCGGGGCCACCGCCGATTTCGGTGGGTCATCCGAAACACGAAGCATTACTTTGACCTGCCGGGGGGAGAAAGAGAAAATATGGAAAGATCGTATGAGTAAAAGGGAAGTGCACATTTTTTGATACTGTTTTACGTGATAGGGGGTTTGCCGGGTGTTGGATCTATGTATCTCCTTTACCCGGAACGACCATTTTGGGATAGAACTGATGCTAGGCTCAGTTTAATATGTGGTACGATTAATGCAGTCTGGTCGTTGAAAGTTGCAAAAATACTAAGGGGTTAAAGAGAGAAACCGCTCGCCGTGGTTTATTTATTCAAGAAGTGGACACTGATTGTGGTTGGTCGGCGCAAGCATAATGGAAAATAGCTACGGGATCAAATATTAATCTGCTACAAGTCAACCGAGAATTTATAACGGACTTCAGCCAAGTGACCAACTAATCAACTGATGCCAGAAGGTTAATGTCGGGGCCAATCGTTGCATGATCCAGTGACATTTTTCACACCATTCTGGACGAGCACCCCTTTGCCTTCCTACGGCATAAGAGTGTGCGGTCAAACTTTTTCTAACCCATCCAGAAGGGAAAACCCAAGAAACCAGACAGGGAGCTAAAGGTTACTAGACAGATAACCGAAGAAACGAACCACTGCAATATTGATTAATCCAATAAGGATTAGGGGAAGCAAGAAGCAAAGCCATGTACAACAAGCTCGCGTCTGATAGAGATAGATTGATCTATCCACACATAATTAACTTTATTCAATTAGGAGCGTGGTTTCGAGCTTGGTCGTTCAATCATGCCCCTCCGGTCTTTCCCCCTCTTTTAAGCGAAACCTGACTCCGACGGAAGTCCTTGGTCGAGGGTCCGGTTTTATTGATGAAGATATGGCTTTCCCGGGTGCTTAGGAGCTGAAAATTTATAGTCGACAAACACAAAGTGTTTCTTTTTCGCCTCCGGATACTTGCTCGTAGGGATTCTTTTGAAGTAAGTACTTGAACCAAGAGAATGCAGCTTGTTTCCCCTTGCCCGAAGGCAAGTCAATAAGTCGATCAAAAAAAGAGGGTGTCTTTCGGCTCGAATCACTTCCATCTAATTAAGGCTGCATTCTGAAGATTATTGATTTTTTTTTCTCTAGGTCTGCCATGTCATTGAGCAAAGAAGAGGCGAGGAAAGTTGGAACTGTACACAGTGTTTAATTGAATTTAAGGGCGTAATAAAAACGGCGCACACAATTTAATAATCAGGAAGGGTCAGACGGCAGCCGTCGGGGCTGGCAGGGATGTGGTTTTCCGTAATGGAATTTTGCTGCGCTCGGTCTGGTTGGCCTGGTGTATGTATGTGTGAATAAGGATAATGTAATCATCACACTCATTGAGGTCGAATCCACGTGGGGCTAATAGATAGAGATGAAATATGGGAAACTTGGAGAGGAGGGGTACCGGAGTGTTTTACCGCAAAATGGGTCTAGTTTTGGAAAGAAGCATTAAACATGTATGAGGCACCCTATGTGAAACCGGAAATGCGTGCATCCGAGTATAGATATTAATTCAGTCTGTAGCAAGTAAGTTTACATGTATCGTTGAATTGAGATTAATTTTACGTTATTTGGGGTATTTCTTGAATTTTTGATTTGATCATCGCTGGATTGATATTTTGATTTTAAGTAGATATTTCAAATAACGAAAAACAGTAGTTGTTGCAAGGGATAAGTCACTCCACACACCATTATTGCATCACCTTTTTTTGTCAGCGTGCCGCAAGTGTGCCGTGTGTGATTTTTCTTAAAATACCCATCCCGGCAACCCGGTATTTCTGACACCTTGAATGTTTGAATTTGAAATCGCAAGGATAAATCGGATTGAGGGAGACGCGGGAAGTGGCGGGTGTGCGAAATTTCGGTATTTTATGTTTATAGGATGATAAAAGTCCTGTGTTTTAGGGTTTTATAATGTTTCAAAGGCATACCATAAACCTAGCCTTTCGTGCTGAGAAAAACAACGGTCTATCAGCGACCGAAAAGAGATGGAACCGGTTAGAAACATTGTTGGAGACCGACTATAGAGGATGAAAAATAGACTTCTGTAGTTTGTTTTGCGTGAGTTGCATCATTATTTGAATTAAGCGTGCTAACGGGGTCTAAATAACTGCCCCTTTCTCTTGAGCCCACTCTAGAACCTACATTTTGTATTTAGATCTATAAGTAATCTGCTGGTCTGAGTTCTTCTGGTATATTCAATTAGAGGATGTTCCTGAATATACAGTCAAACAGCACGCAATGTTGTGAACAAGCAGTTATCCAGCAGTGCTCCCGTATTATTTAATGAACAATCCAATGCCAACGAGATTGTGACGAAGGTATGCCGAAGGTGTTAATATAGATGTGCCCAAGCTGTGCCGAATCTAGGGTGGGTCAACTTAACAACCCCCTGCTCCCCACAGCTCTTCAGATTTGTATTGCCAACTGTGTCAAATTGGAACAAATTTGGTTACGCTCTGCATTTGCGGGAGAGCTTGAAAGTTTGTATGGGAAACGCACCAAAGATATTCAATTCTAGATAGAGTTGGAATTAGGGCCTAAAAGCTTTTGCTGTTCGAGCCTCCCTTAGCTTAGTTGGTAAAGGCGCAGCTACAAAGTAAGACCATGCTGGAGGTTGCAGGGTTTGATTTCCGGTCCGGACTAGGAATTTTTCGGGCTGGAAAATTTCTTATCTTTCCTGGGCATACAGTATGATTGTACATGTCACACAATTATACTAATTCAAAAATAGTACCGGCATCGAAAGTTCTCAATTAATAGCTGTGGAAAGGGCATCTTGAACACTAAAATGCGATCAGCAATAAGCCTGAAATGCGAAAAAGAAGAAGAAGAAGCTTTTGTAAACAATGACTTCTCTCGATGATTTATAGGAATTCAAGGTGCGTCCACGCAATCCAACATAACCATCGGGTATGGAAAGACTTCCCCTACCTGATGGTGATATTGATTTGCTTGGGCGAGCCTTGAGTTTCTCGAAATCATCGCGAGAAGTCATTGTTTACAAAAGCTGTTACGCCATAATTCCAGCTCTATCTAGAATTTATTGTCAACAATTCAAAAATCACTAAATTTTTAGTAAATCTGGGACTGAGATTGAACAAACTTTTCAGAACAACTTCGTTGAAGAAACTTCAAATCGATTAGACTTCTGAGCAAAAAGTTATTTTTTTTTATTAATGGCCATGTGCTTCCCGCATACCTACTGGCGTGCATATACGCTTGTAGGTTAGCGCGAAGCACTAGGACGACTGTAATAAAAAAGTTGGAGGGTGGTGTACAAGACACGACCGCATTGTTGACGTAGGACTACGAAATTTTTGTTCGATTTTTTAGTATGTTGTTACGGATATTGTTTTGGGTGGGCGTTGGCCAAATTTGGATTTTTCAGATATAATCCTAAATAGGACCTAGATTATTTAATACTCTAGTAACCTCAAGTCCGTGCTCTGTCACAATGTTTCATTTTGATTAATCAACACTCAAAGGGGTAAAATATAAAATTTGGGGTGAACTTGAAAGAAAGGGAACTTGGAGTGTAGAGCGCACTGCCCACAGGACGATTCTGAAGCCTGGCCAAGTGAGTGGGGTATGGGTTTATTTGATTGAACGTAATTTCCAATGTATATATTGATGCATTCAAACCATTGGCATTTGAGATAAGACAGATATAGGATGCGGAGGGCCCGCTTAGGGGGAGCGTAACCCATGTTATGGTTTCCATTTATTGAATAGTTCAGATGGGCTATAAATGACAGGTTCATAGTGAGAAAATGTACCATATGAGATCCGTTCACTGATCAAAATCAGATTCATTGCATGCATTTGGTTTTGTTTTCATCAAAGTTATTTATATATGAAATATAATATTGCCATATAATTGTAATTTAAGTTTTGTTTTTGTAATTGCACGATAAATAGTTTACGTCATTAGAAACATTGAGTTGTATAAACTAGATGCATCATACCTCTATCATAGTCGTAGTTACAGTGTCGCATGATTGAACAACTACTGCCTGCAACTAGTGTTGGAGAGGCTGGCAGGGTTGACTACGGATCAAAACGATCATAACTCTAACTCTAAAATGATCCGAAACTAACGCTCATTCATTGAACTTTTAGTTATAAAGTAGTTCTGTTTTCCTAGTAATTGATCTATGCTTATTTCTATTGTTTTTATACTTTTTCAATAATCTGCCTACGTTTTTTTTCTTTGTTTTCCATTTTATCTTTATTCTCTTTTGATTGTTCTGCTCTTCTTTTGTTTTGTTTGTTCAGATATAACTAATACTAATACCTCTTTGTTTCCACTCTAATGTTTCGTCTCTAATTTGTCTGCTATATCCCACCATCACGACGAGAGATGAGCTACCCTACATAGTACACGCCTATATGGGCGCCCAAAATAGTATACCGCAAGTAAGTATATCACCAAAACAACTAAAGATCCAGAAATAAAAACCGATGGCGCTGCAGAATAATGAGGTAACTTCTACAATGTACTGTAATTTGTACAATAATACTCATATTACTCATATTACTTTAAACAATCGTCACGTCAGTCATAGCTTGTTATGATTGCCTGAACAATGCGTAAAGAGCAAATCGAAACATTGAACTTCACGTGATAGTGGAATTTAGTCAAGGCCCAAATACTTTTTCGTAGCCTTTCGGATTTGAAAGATCGTCGGTTGCAGTGGCTTGCTTACTGAGCAGAAAAACGTGGTCCCAGGTCCTTTCATATTAAAAATGTATGGTAAGATCACTTGTTTATCGTGTATTTTGCTAAACCTTTCGCTGTCGTCGGTGTAACGGTATGATGTGATATGAGGGGCTCGGTGGCTTTAGAGCAACCGTTTTTGCTTGCTGAGCAGATCATCCTGAGTCTAGTCTCAAGCCCATCCACATCAAGATTCATCAATCGTTTTATTTGTTAATATGACTACATGGAAATAAAAGCAACTCGATGATTAAAAAGGACCTCGTTTGCCTAGTAGCAACCGTTTTTGCTTACTGAGC